GCCAAAGCATGGTATCGAACAAATACAAATATGGGAGCCATGCTTGTAACAAATGATGAGCATGGCTAACACACTTTTTTCATATATATTTGTGTTTGATCGAACTATTGTTAAATTAGGATACAACACTTGTGTTGTGTTTATTGTGTTTCTGTTGGAGACGTGCTCCTGAATTTCAAATTATTTTCATATGTGGTGTAGTTGTGACTTCGAATGACGTCATTTTGATCAATTTATATTTTTAGCTTGTGTTTGTGTGTATGTGGCTTATCATCCTGTTTGTCGGAAGTGCCTTGTCTGATCAATTAAAACTTCACAAATCGAATCTCAGTTGTTTATGGGCGGATTGTGTTCACACTTGCTATAAACATCAGACTTTGTGGGATTTTGGACGCAGTTTATTTTGTTTTTAGGTCGGATTCTAAATGACTGCCTGGTGGCTACTTTGTTTCAACAAATATTGTTTCAGAACTATGTCTCGGACATTCCCTGCCCAAACAAACATTTCCGAATTTTAAATATACATTATATTGCATATAAGCTCATGTGTTCCTTCTATTCAAAATTCACCAGTAAGTGGTGGCCATTTTAATGTTAAAAATGCTTCAATATTCCGTAACCAGGTTTAGGTCATGCATTACCTTTCTTTTCTAAGTTGGTACATACGTTAGACAATATGGAACCCAATGCATGTTTGTCTGTTTTTTGGATTAGGTTTTATATGCCCGACTGGTGGTAATTTTGTTTTAGCTCATACAGTTATGAAGCTATATCTCCGACATGTGCTGACATTATATACCATGCGCACGTGCATATTCATTCATCTGGTTATCTGATTCCAAATTGCTGAATTTCGATTATTCTGTTTACAACAATCATCAAAATCAAGCATTTCTGCAATTACAGGTCTGGATGGTATGTAAATTTAATTCGATTGGAGATAGGATCCATATCACTTTGTCAGATCATAATTTATATATTTCTTAAACTTGAGAAGTCACAAGAACTATGTTTTGCAATTACTTGTTAGCAAATATAATTATATTACTAACTACTTTTGTAAACTATCAGCCGAATTGTATTGATATTTGATACATATGTAGCTTTGGTATATTTCGATCACAATTGTAATCCTTGCCAAAAACTTATTTGCCTAACAGTTATACCTCTGGTTCCATCTATGCGTACATCCGCTTTCAAATCGCTGACATGCATAAACAGATTTCATTCTTACTTGAATGGGCTTAATTGTTTTTTCAAAGATGTGATTGTTTATTTTCATAATTGTCACATGCAACGTAATATTACCGTAATTGGTATAGTACATGTGTGATGGTTCAAATACCAAAATGGCAACAGTAACAAAAAGACTTCCCTGGCGGCGATGATAAAATACGAACACGGAGCCAACAGATGAGGATTTAACTGGTACTGGTATTATTATACTCCGCAAACATCAAGTACAATAACGCGGTAAAACTCAACTACTCCAATAATTATATACTTAAACTCCAATACAATTCAACGAGATCTTCGATCCGATCTCAATGCTGAACAACTCCCCTGCATATACCCACACTGTCTATAAATAGACCATTACATCAGCATACATAATGAGTCTGGACTTTACTACAAATTTCTAGAATGTTCCATTACCTTCTATTGCCTTCTACAGTGTTCTATTACCTATTTAACCAGCTTCTAAAAATTCCACCCAGACACAGTACGGTTCTAGAACATTCTCAGTCACACGGAAGTGGTAAACAAGTCGTATGCGACAATAATGCACTTGCTTTTTCTTGAATTTATTATTAATTTGCTGGCAGCTTTTTAAAAGTGCTCATAGAAGTTCCGTTCAAATCTCGTTTAGGCCACAGTCTATCACATGTAGCCTTTCATAATGGTCGACAGAGTGCTCAAAAAGCAGAAAAGGTGGTTAGATACAGTAAATTTTTCATTTGTTGTTAAGGGGTAAATTTTCCTTTCTGTGTAATAAATTTTTACATGTTTGTGCTAAGGAAAATCTCGAGAATTGCATAAGCCCTAAAATTACCGCCTGTTGCTCTATTGCAGTGGTAATTTTATTTTTTATTTTATCTGATGTGTTCTCGATCATACTTTCTAGAACATGAACCATCTTGAGCGTCATTGGTCCGGCAACCAGAATCGGTGGCTTGTCGCCGAAGAAAATACTAGTAAAATAACAGTAATAGTATTAATACAAATTTACATGTAAACTTTCTTCGGTATAAAGCATTTATATACTTTGAATTTATATGATTTGATTATATATTTTCTACTTTCACACGCATCTCAAAATGGTCAACGAGTGAAAAGCGATCACTTCGCGCAGTA